AAGTCTGCAGAAAAATATATCGGATGTTGATATGGAAAATCTTAAGTTGTATCTCCTTGGTCTTGGCGTTATTATTTGATAAATTGTCACGCTGGGTGATGTCTGTTTATCTTGATATATATGTTGTAAGTGGATTCGGAATCGGATCTTAAATGACTCATGTGGTGATAGAATTTAATATTAATTAATGATTATCGTTATACATAATTTAAAATATATTCGAATTAATAATTATTTTATCTTTTTCTTTTCTATTCGAAATGTCGACGCCGGAAGAACCTAATATGTAAATTTGGAATCCCTAAAGATCGACATTGGATTAAAACTTCTTTTCAAATTTGAGAATTAGGAATCGAAACGAATCCAATTACTCAAATTATTACTGTTACGAAGAATGAAAATGGATCAGAATTAATACGTACTATAATCGCTTTTATGATATATTATGTAAGTTTTATGTAGGCGGTTTAAAACATGTTGGAGAATATAAAGCGTAGGATATTGTAGTTTTTTTTTTTTTTAGTTTAGAAAAAATGGATTCATTTTTTTGCTAAACCTAATATACACCTTCGACAATGCAACACTAATTAATTTTTTTTTAGATTGGGAAATAATATAACTATATTCCTGATTTTCAACTAAATATGATGAGCTTGAAATTTGTGAAAATAAAGTTATTAGCAAGAATGCAACTGTAACAGGAATACACTGTAATTGTAAAAGCGAGTACAAAAATAATAATTGTGAATGTAAACGTATACCAGGTAGAAGTAGTTGTCATCCACATATAGTATAAAATGTAAAAATAAAATATATATAATTTTTATTTAGTTTATATTTTTTAATAAATTATTTTTAGTAACTAAATTTTAATCGATAGTTTTTAACATTCTGTTTCCACTCATGTTGATTTAAGATTCCAAATCAAATTAAGTGGATTCGGAATCTACAGAATTCCGAATCCATTTACAACATATATATAAAAATTAAAAACACGTTAAGAAGATATCACGACAACCATCTAATATTTTAATTATAATTCTTAGTTATATAGTACACATTTTTATCGAAAATCAGATGTTATTTTATCTTATCAGCTATCAATCAATCACATGATTTATGCAGAATTTATGATATCAGCTATCCTTTAATTAAGCGCTTACTGATCGAAAATTAATATAGATTTTGGGAATTTATTGAACTTGCCCACATTGTGATAAAATATTATTATTACTATATTATTTATGTTTTTACAAGTTCTTATAAATAATTCCAATGATTATAAAATTTTAACTCTTAAAAATTATTTAAAATCAAATTATACAAATTGGACATTGTTCGAACGTGACATTCATTATAAAGTATGATTAATAGTTATAAAGTTAGTATTGATATCAATAAATGATGGATGTTTTTACAAATTAGAATCATGCTTATAGTTATATTATCCTTTTTTATCATTCGCATATACTAAACATAATCACACAAAAGAAAAGAAATTAGAGATGGTTACAAAGAAGATATATTAAAATTTAAGAGCCTAACCAATTTGATCCGGTTCCACTGACTGTACATTTTTATCTTCTGACAAAACTGACACATATTCTTCGGGCATTTCGACGTCAAAGCCTTTCATTATGACTGAGTCATATTGTTTATAAATAATAACGCCAAGACCAAGGAGATACAACTTAAGATTTTCCATATCAACATCCGATATATTTTTCTGCAGACTT